TGAGATAGCCATCAACACTCGCTTTATAAAAACAGATGGCGTCAACGCTCATTACAATCATTTAATTTTAGCACAAATCATAAACAAGCCCACATTTTACCAAATTCTAATCTTAAATTGGAACGTACAACAAACCAGACCTTAAAATATATTTTTCATTAGCTATCTGGGTCAGAGCGAACGATCCGCCTACATAAAATCGCAATAGAAACTAATTGACCCGCCAAAAAGGAATACAATGCTTCTTTCTCATCTTTCCCAATTTCTTCCAGTTTGACACACGTGACTTTAATAATAATAATAATAATACCGGGAGGAGCATCGGTTACGCGCAGAAAAGAAATCCCCACTTCTAATTAAATAAAATTGTGAATTTTTTCACACTTACCTGGGCATTAGTAAGGTACATTCTCTAATTTTTTGGTAATTTTTCATTTACAAACAAAGCCAAAAAAAATAAAAAGTAATTTTCTCCCAAAAAGTTTAATTCTAATTTTTATACTGACCTACGCAGATTCACTTCCTACAATTGTTTACAAAATCAGAGAAAAAAAATTCCAATTAGATTTTGAATAAAACGCAATTTCCCATCTTAACTACTTGTGGCATCGTAAATTTAGGTGACAATGGGGAACTGCAATTCGGGTAAGATTCCAAGGTTTACAACAAAAAGACCATTTAAAGCGGTCGGCTACCAGTAAATGATTCTTTTGTTGGTAAATTATACCATTTTGTCATAAATCACGGGTCTGGCTTGTGTTTAAATAAAAAAAGCGATTATTTAGTTAACCAAGTCAAAATTTGAAATTGTGATATCAAAGTTTGATGCGCTGACAGGTACAGATTCATTTAGTGTAAAAACTTTATAGGTAAATTAACGGAAAGTATTCATAAAACACACAAAACTGTTACGGACTCATTTATTATCCAAAAAAATTAGAAAAATGCTCAAATTATACCCTATCAATAATTAGTTAGGTATATGAAATATCGCCAGTTTTAATTAATTTGAAGTCGCGATTTATCAAGTGCGCGTAACCGATGCCCCACCCGGTATAATTTGACAGCATTAAAGGTAAAAGATCTTGTAAACAAACTAATTCGGAAACGAGGCATAGACAGAACATCAGTTGACGTAAGTTAACGTTATGAAAATTATACCTATACAGGGTGCGCCAGAACTCGCGCCCCAGAAAAAAAATTCAAGTAAGATAAGATACCAGGAACATGGATAATAGCCTGTAACAAAAAAATTAGAAAATCATTTTCCCAACAGAAATAAATAGAGTCAAAGTGCAAAACTGTCATGACTTCGAAATTTTTATAGATAAAATTTTTTTAACATTTTTTCCATGTTCTTGGTATCTTACTTTATATGGCATTTTTCTCTGGGGCGCGAGTTCTGACGCACTCTGTATACTAGCTTATCACAAAGGTAGGGAGAAGTGGTTTTAAGAACAACGTGAACATTAACAAGTAACTGATATTTGGATAACAAATCGAGATTCAACCATTGCAACTCATTTGGCTTAGGGGATACGGGATCATATTTACTTTGGTGGTAATGCAGCAATTTGTCGGCAATTGTCGGCTCTGGTGGTTAGTTGATATTGACACGGATCTGTGTTTTTTTTTTGACTTGGGTCGGAAATAGAAATAAAACAGACCGGACACATCTGTTTTAAATAAACGTCACACAGTGAATAAGTTGATGTTTTGAATTTAGTTGAAGTATGCAATCGACTGGCGGCGAAAGTTGGGAAATTGTCGAAGATTATGGTTCAGAAGAGGAAGTTATGTCTTGTATTTTAATTGCTTGTTCTAAGTAATAAAACCAATACAGGCCAAAGTCTATTTCACCGCAATAAAAGTATCTACAAACAACGTAGTTGGAGTGATCAAAAGCTTAAATTAATTTTTTTCCACCAGTTTGATTGGTGAATTTTTTCTTCTATTTGGGGATCAACTGTTATAATTATTTATGTGTGTACCTACAGCAGACAAATTTAATACCCATTCCCCACTCTCATTGAAATTATTTCACAATAATATTTTTAGAACATTTCTTTTTAAAATATACATGGTGTGTCAGAACTCGCGCCCCAGAGAAAAATTTCAAGTAAGATAAGACACCAGGAACATGGAAAACATTTTTAACATTTTATTTTTGACATTTGACATTTTTTATGTCTATTTAATGATACCGATGAACTTGTATATTTTTTTTTATAATTACATATTTATTAAACAAAAATTTTGCAAATAAAAACCACAGAGTTACAATTTAGGATACAGTCTTGTTTCCTCTTTTAATAGCCTGTAGCAAAAAAACTTGGAAAATTGGAAAATTATTTTTCCAATAGAAATAAATAGTCAAAGTGCAAAATTTTAACTCTCGTAACTTCGAAATTTTTATAGATAGAATTTTTTTAACATTTTTACCATGTTTCTGGTATTTTACCTTACATGACATTATTCTCTGGGAAGCGAGTTGTGGCGAACCTGTATAGGAAAGTAAATACAAACTCATTTGACTAAGCTAATCCAGACTACAAAGTTACATCGACTACGTAAAAAAATCATAATAAAAATTTAAGCGTACAATTTTATTGAGATCTTGAAATCTACTTCTTCTTTGTATGTTTATACAGCAATAATATTTAATAATGCAACTTTAGTCGTAGTCCTAATTAGTCATAGGACCTAATTAAACTAAACATGTTCAATAAAATTAAAATGTTCTTTTTAACTAAATACAAAATTTCATTAGTTACATTAGCTAACACGATATGATAATAATTTTTACAACTTTGCGTGTTTGTATAACCTTGTTTATGACATTTAGATGTGTATTTTTACATCTTTATCAACCATTTGGAACTTATCAATATAGGAAAACCGTGGGTTAGGAAAAAGAGCAGCTGAAAAGTTATTTAGCTCCCCAACCACCCGCATATTGCCAACCCACTAAAACATCTGCATATAATAGTGCGTGTGTACGTTATAGAACGCCCATTGTGCCTTTTCGCAAGTAAAGTATTGAAGTAAACCGTATAAAAGCGACGACGTATTTATTGTTGCATGATGCAAATACATTGTATGGTTCGTCAAAAGAATGCGATTGTAGTTAAGTGCATCCGGTAGCCTTTACAAATCAATCTTTTATTTTGCGTTCGAACACTAATTAGCTAGCGTAAAAATAGACAGGTAAAGGTAACTTCCGTCAGCTCGAACAGTCATAAAATTTATAAATAAGATGACACATGAGCGGTTATTTTTACAATTCACAAATCGGCACAATGATGAAAAGTTTCTAGAACGTAGGAAGTTGAGGTTGGCATGGTTAAATAATCGACTTTTGGGTATCTACCGGATATCCGTGTAGTAGGTACACTTCATTATCTGATTCATTTTGTGACGCCACAAGAAGCTTCAAAGTTTAGAGTATCTCTGTACTCTGTAATTTTTTTGCGCCGTTTTTGGCTTATTCAAATGCGTTATTTTCATTTGAATGACGATCTCAATTTGAATTAAAAATTGGTCTGTTCAAAATTCCATTGAAAACTGACCTAATATAGAACCACTGCATACATAACGAACGCTTGAAGAAATTGCCGCGTTGATGATCTTAACAAGGCATCGTTTGTGTTTGTTTATGTATTTTTCTTGATACTAGGCAAGGTGTGGTAGTTTACGGACCGGTGTTTATTTAATTTTCCGGTTCTTCTGGACTTGGGACTTTTAAAGAGACGTAAAAGCTCTCATTGTTTGGATTTTAAGATAAATAAAATGTAAAAGAAGGTCTGTTTTCTAAATTATATTTTACAGTGTTATTAGAGAGATGTGTTTTTAAAATACGATACAGAAGCTAATAAAACGGAAATGAACTCTTTGAGAAACACATTAAATAAAAAAGACCCGAATAAAATACTTAGTAACTGTGTACCTTATTTTGGCATTGATCAGAAGAGAGCATTTTGAATTATAAATTAGAATAGATTTTTTTGATGAAGAGAGTTCGGCCAAATAATTATACAAACATACATATTTCGAAACACTAAAATACAGCCGACAAATACATAATAATTTCAAGGTAGCTGGTGTTTACGTTTGTCTAAGAATAAATTGGACTTATACTCGTAAGTAGGAATCGAAAAACATTTATTTTTGATGATTATGTTTTTAAAATTTAGAAAAATAAATAGTCACTCATAAAAGGTATAACTTTATTCGTATTTTATCATAGAGCTGTGTTTAGGTAACATTAACCAATTTGTTGTATTTTATTATTAATAATAAAAAAGCAAAGTAATATCTGTATAAAAAAAAATTGAAAATAGGTCACCATCACATACAAGTTTAGCGACAATCCACAAATTTATAATCTCGCCCCCTTCTTAATCTCGCTTCCAGCATCTTCTTTCCCATTCACGACACGCTCAAGCATAATAAATAATAAAAACGGTGGCATCATATTAATTCTTGTGACATCAAAATCACTCCTACGTAATTTCTAGATCTAATGAATTTAATTCAAGGTCAGTCCAGATTCCAGTTGGTTTTCTTCCAAGTTGTCTTTAGTTCGTTTTATATTTAAGCGATCGAAAGTGGAACATGCTGCTGTCATAAACGAAATGGATTGATCGCCTCGTTATTTACACCCGACTTTTATTTAATTGACCTATAAAATAGTGAACAAAACGTATGCTCGATTTTACAAGAAATAGGTCAGACTTGTTATAAAACAACGCGATTCTGTGTATTTTATGACTTATTAAAATTTTCTTAAACTAAACCATGAAGAAAAATTATTATTTTTGTGTACTACCTGAAAAGTTATTTGTCTCAAATCTAAAATTAAAACTTGTGCGTCAGCCAATTGCCAGTTTCTTGGAGACAGAATTATCAAACAACAATAGAAATAATCTTAAAATCTTATACCTATCTCTAATTGTTGTTGATATTAACTTTTGATAGCATAATGTGTTGTTTCTTTACAGAAATCTCAATGGACTGGTCAGACCATGCCCTGTGGTGGCCTAGTAAAAACATTTGGTTGGCCCGAACACGATCCACCCTCGACCAATACGGCGTCCAAGCCGATGCCCTTTTACATTTTACTCCCATGCACAAGAATTTACGGGTACAACTACCTGACTTGCGTTACTTGGACATGAAAGTGGATTTTTCTGTAAAAACTTTTTCGGCAGTTATTCACTTGTGTAAAGACCTGGGTATTAGGCATCCGGAAGAATTGTCGTTGTGTAAACCACTCGAACCTTGCCATTTAAAATACAATTACAACTCGATGCCAAAGAAGAAAGTTGAAAGTGTTGCGAAAAACGGCCACCCCAACCTTCCCCCAGACACGAACACGTTCATCGCGAATAGCAGTCCAGATGGTAGCACCGGGAGTTTGGACAAGACTGGGTTCATGTGTGCTCCGGTCACACCCTCGAAACTTCCGCCGTCGTCAACACCGGTCAGCACTCCTGTTGGAAATGTAATTGTTTTGCGAATGGTTTTAACTAACCATTTAACTTTCCCGAACTTGCATTGGCACATATTTGTTTTATTCATCTTTTCAAAAAAAAAGACGGGTTTAAAGTAAAGAGAATGAATTAAAAACGTAGGGGCGGATTTAAATTATTGAAGACCCCTAATACTCATATTTAAAAACACATATTAATGTGCTCATTACAATAACGTTTGTTTTGTCTAAAGTAAACAAGCTATAATACAGCAAAAATTATGGGCTTTACGTCTGTAGTTTCGAAAGATTTTAATCATCACTGTTTATTACAATCACGGCTTCCTTGATTAATGAAGGAAGTTTCCCTTCACCCGGCTAGTCGCATTCATTAGTTCCGTGCCTTTTTTTTGGTTTCGAGAGGGAGCCACATTAAGGTACAAGATTTTGACAGTTAATAAGGTTATGTGCTGTCACACTCCTGTCAGTGGAAAGCAAAAAGGCGTTAGTACATTTATAAAAACGTAATTTGGCCACATTTCGCTTGTGTATAATGCCATTAGGAATTAAATACGCACGTCACAATCTCACACTAATGATTTTTTCGAAAAGTAAACAATTTCCTGATATGTGGCTATTTGGTAAACTAGAGTAATGTGTATTGTGCCGTATTAAATCCCTGACAATTATAAGTGACTAAACCTGCAAGAGTGCAACAGCTTGTTAGAATACAGTGCACAACCAATACGTTCAAGGTCTTTTAGGCCCGTAGGGGGGTTATAAGATAAAGAAGTAAACGCATTTTGTACAAATTTGAAAATGTAATTTACTGTCAAAATTTTTAGTTTTTTTGAATAAATATAACTTTTTTTCCTAGTACTTTGTGTGTAGAGATTGCAAAAATTTGCCAACGATAATGCCGCAGACACTGCGATGTTCCTCGCAGGAGAATATGGGATTTTCATTTAAATATGTAACAATTATTGTTTTCAAAATGTAGTCTACATCTTGCGTAGGCACACTGGGTATTATTTCCAAAATCACTCCTATGACAATGAATTAAGGCCCGTCCGGAGCAAACTTGGCCTTCAGAATTTTACAACACTGGTTCAGCTGTCAAGCTGGGATCGGTAGCAGTCATAAACGACAATCTAGTGGAAGAACATAATTTACAACACCCAAATTGCCGCACGCTGGTTATCTGTATGATTTCGAAACTTTGCTGAGACGGTTTTGTTGTGGTGCTTTCAGGTATAAATTCGCCCAAATTTTTATTAGCATTGTTGTAATATTGCTGCCCGATTTTAGATTGCGAATTATTTAATTTTGGATTACCTCTTGAAGTTATCGACTTGGATAACAACAATCTATATTTCGCTAGTTGTAAAAGTTCAAAAAAGCGCCGCAATCCACTTTTGTTTTTGACTTTGAAATTTTATTTTTTTTTTAAACCATTTTCTTGTCGGGCTCGCAAAAAATTTTATACTTTTTAATGTTTTATTAGGATTCTTTTAATATTATCGTAGATAATTGCCAATTTAGTTTACTTATAAGGAGGTTATATCATCTTGGTGATAAATAATAACAAATAAATAAAAATCAAAGGAAATAATTTTTTATTTAGTAAAAATTCTTATTAATTATCTTATTCAATTGAATTTCCCTTAGTGGCATACTTCTGGACGCTCTTGGATCAATTATTTCCGGAAGTAGTGCCCTCATGTAAAATTTCTCCAACTTCGACTCCATTTTTTGAGAGTAGAAACAGACCAAAAATTATTGAAATGGATTATTTGAAATGAAATGAATAATTATTCTGTAGTCTGTATGTATGAGAATTATGAATTATAAATTATAAAACATTTATTTAACTTGCAATTGTAGTGAAATTATAATTTTCATTTAGGCGAAAGGTATTGATTGTAAAGCAATTTTAAAAATCTCTAAAATTTTCTTTTACAAATTCAAGACATCTGTGTCATCAGCTTGTCGGCGGGTGTGGTTGTAAATTTGGGTCTAATTGTTTGCGGTTAGTTTTTATGTGGGGGTTGTAAATAATCTTGTGCTCACTCGATTTTCGATTCCAAATCGTCCTACCTCTGTAGAGGTGTTATTTATAAATATTTTTTTACCAGACTTGAAATTATCACCTTAATATACAACAATCTACATTTTGACTGTTTTAAAAGTTCGGTAAAACGTCTTAAAATGTATTTTTTTAAAATGCGCACTTTTGTTCAAACTTTCTCTACCTATATTTCAATTTGTAGATAACCTATCGCAATTCTAAAACAGTCAAAATGTAGAAAAAAAAATTCTCTTTCACATGATACCAAATTCATAAAAATATCTTTAGTAGTTTTTGAAATACAGAGGTAGACATTTACATTAGAACTCCCATAAGAGATTTTGCTCCGGCCGCCTCTTAACGCAATAAACTTTTCAGATGAATATTTGAGCTTTCCTCTGTCTTGATTATAAATTAATTCCAAGAGGGGACTTGTTTTTGACTCAAAATAATTGGTTAAGGGTACTAGACAAGCAGTACATTTTACAGTCTCCTCAACTTTTCTTAACAAATATCCACAGAGAAATCCAATTTCTAACTTAAATTTCAAATAATTACGACGTTTGGCGCGTGATTTTGGTAACTATGGTAACAAGAAAAGTTTTCGGAAGAAATTAACAGATGGCGATACATTAGAGTACGCTGTTAGAACCACTTTTTTTTTTTAATGCGACCAGCCGGGTGAAGGGAAACTTCCTTCATTAATCAAGGAAGCCGTGATTACAATGTTTCTAAATGCATAATGTTTCATCTAAAAATTTTTAAATGGAATATGTATACTCGTTTTCATATTAATGTGCATCGAAGTAGTCGTTGAAAGGGACTATTTTAAGGTGGCAACCATGCGAAAATTCAAACAATCCTAAACTCATTTTTCCCTAAAAATTATTTTTTCAAATAAATGTGTACCGAAAAATAGTTAAAATTAACAACGTAATCAACATAGCAAACATAAAGATTTTTGTCATTATTGATGTGATTAAATTTGTTTTGAATGACATTAATAACACTTTTTGTGTAAATCGGACTTTAAATTAAAGATTCATTTAGACTTCTACAACCTACTTGATGCACATAAATATGAAAAAGAGTATACCTATGTTAATTTAAGTTTCATGGTTTGTTTTATAATACTTAGTTTAATTTTGCTTATCTTGAAATAATTCTTTGTGCAAACAATTCGTATGAAATGTTTGACGCTTTATTTTATGAAAAGTTGACTTTTTTTTTATTTAGCACCGGAACGTTTCACCAATAAATTTTTCGTTCTGATTTAATTCTTTTATTTAAAATAATAATTTAGTTTACGTTTTCTATTAAAAAAAATAGGTATTGACATTGCTTTTTTGTGGTACTTATGTGTAAAATGAAAACCAAAAATTTTAATGATCATTATTCATTATCCATATGTGAATATTAAGAATAGATTTAGAATAGATTTTATACTTTTTCTTAAATATAATTTATTTTTTAACATCTCACGTGTTGTAAAACGAATTCACACTCAGTAGGTGTGTGTATTTGTGTTAAGATAATTTTATCTCTGTTTATTTATTTATTTTTTTCGTTTAGACAGGAACATGGGGACGTCAGGGATTCAATTCGGAGACTAATGGTTATTCGCCAAATTTGACAACAAGTATCAGTTCAGAACAATTGAATGGCAGTTACGACAGTTTTCTTGCCCAAACTCCACCTCCCCCAAGTCCTGAAGCTCGAAAACATATGATTAGGCCGAAATCACTTGTGGAGAAAGCGAGAATGAATGTAGCGTGAGTATTAGTGGGTTGATTATGTTATAGGCAACCAGATATTTGTTTGATTTAAATACAGTAAACCACTCAGTAAAATCATTAAAAATATCGTCAAATTTCTGGAAGCAATCAATTTTCCATCTTATTTGCCTGATGTAAAAGCCTTGATAACTTTTTTTTTTAGATGGTTGGATTCTTCTTTGTCAATTATGGAGCAAGGAGTCAGAGAATACGATACGTTATGTTTGAGGTTTAAGTTTTACGTGTTTTATGACCTAAATCCCAAATATGATGCAATTCGAATCAATCAAATATATGAGCAAGCTAGGTGGCAGTTGTTAAATGAAGAAATTGACTGCACTGAAGAAGAAATGTTGATGTTTGCTGCCTTACAGGTAAGATTTGTAATAATTTTCAATTAAGACATCCGAAACATTTCAAGTACTTAATTTTTTATTTTTAAATTTTAAGCAAGCACAACAACAAATAGACATTGAAACACACTTCAACACTGCATATTTTAGATAAAAAGATAAAAGTAATGGCTTTGACGGTACAATCTTCGTCGGTATCTAAAAACTTTACTAGTTATAAATTAAACGTATTTCTTTGTTAATACCAATGTCACATAACTTATTACTTTTTATAACCTTTTAGTCTAAGAGCCCGCCTTCGCCAGACCTTCGTCATTTTTTAAAAGTTAAAAATTTGTCATCCCATACTACTAACACAGGTAGAAACGATGGGCAAGTATGAAGTTTGGGTCATCGTGGCTTTTGGACATAACAAGTAGCAAAGAAGTAAAAAATATTAACTTAAAATTATCAAATAAAAAAGCGTAATTTCTTTATATTTTCTTCGGAATAATATTAGAAATCACCTTATCCATTGCCAGACACTTAATATTATTATATATTATAAAATTATTATTAATATTATAATTTATTAATATGAATTTTATACATGGTACTTGGATAACCATTAGAAGATGTTTTCTCAGTAGCCAGACAGCTTCGACAGTTCTAAGTGAACTGTCAAAACATCTTCTAATAGTTACCAAAGTAACATGTCTCAAATTCAGCTTTTACACTATAACGTAAGTACAGTTACAATTTATTAAAGTTTAAGGGTGTTTGACAAGGGGTTGCCACGATATTAAATGTGTGGCAATGGATTAGGTGATTTCTAATATTGTTCTGAAGAAAATATAAAAAAATTACACTTTTTATTTAATAAATTTAAGTTGGTATTTTTTACTTCTTTGCTACATGTTATCTCCCAAAGTCACGATGACTCAAACTTTATACTTGCCCATCGTTCCTTCCTGTGTTGGTAGTACTTTTATAAAATGACGAAAGTCTGGCTACCGCGGGCTCTTGCTCTATTTGTTTAGTCCCTTATTTCACGTCAAAAAAAACGTTGCTACTAAGTGTGTAATTTAATAAATTATTAAAATTTTGTTTCGTAAATGATCATTACCACACATAATTTAACACGTTGTAATGTTATATTTTTTTAGTTGCAAGTTAATTTACAAGCTAAACAACCCCAACCTTATTTGGATAATGGCAATTTGTCTTCCCCCGTTGAAGACGACATCGACGCGGCCTTAACCGACCTTCAAACAACTCTCGAGGGATCAACCATAAATTCCTACGCCAACGACATCACACAAGTGCCTGAATTAACCGACGAATTGCGATTTTTGAAGTAAGTTTAACAAATTGCAAATCGATTGGAACAGGACAAATCCACATTGTTATCCATTTAATTTTCATTCATGCTTAAATAACATCTTTTTAGCGAGTAAATATCAGAATTAAAAAAAATTGAAAATTGACGAATTTTTGATTGTATCACTCCAATTTAAATTTAAGAAAAGAACGATATCATATTTCAAGTTTCTTCATAGTTTTGCGGATTGTGATGAGTGTGGTATTGTTTCAGACCGAAAAGATTCACATTAAAAGCCTACAAAAGATACTGGTTCACATGCCGTGATCTGCATCTCTACCTGTACAAATTCAAAACAGAAATGATCCACAGACAAAACCCGATCCACGATATTAATTTGCGCGGTTGCGAGGTCACTCCAGATGTCAACATTAGTCAAAATAAATATGTAATCAAATTGGAGGTGCCGAGCGCCGAAGGCATGTCTGAAATGTACATAAGATGTAATGATGTAAGTTGATTTTACGAGTGGAGCAAGTACTTTAATTTTTTGTGGTACAGGAAAATCAGTACGCAAAATGGATGGCGTGTTGTCGATTAGCATCAAAAGGTCGGTCTCTCGCTGACAGCAGTTATGAATCGGAAAAACAGACGATTTTGGAATTCTTGCAAATGCAGAGGCCGGCTGATGAGCCAGCGATTAATCCCAGCAGTCTCGACCTCCAAACAGAAGATTACATCGCTCCGCGATTTTTAAAGAAATTTCGGGGGAAAGTAAGTTAACATAAACTCGTCTTGTAGGAGAATAATGGAATTTTCAATGCTCCGTTTCTAGAATCAGCGAATTTTGGAAGCACATGCCAATGTCAAAGATCTTCCGCTGATTGAAGCCAAAATGAACTACATCAAGGCGTGGCAGTCGCTTCCCGACTATGGTTTAACTCTCTTTGTTATCAAATTTATGGGAAGCAAAAAAGAAGAGTTGTTGGGAGTCGCCCCTACGCGTATTATGAAAATGGACATAACTACAGGGGATCACCTGAAGACGTGGAGGTACAATACCATGATCGCTTGGAATGTCAATTGGGAAGTAAAGCATATGATGATACAGTTCGAAGATGGCAATATAATGTTTAGTTGCTCGTCAGCTGATTGTAAAGTCGTTCACGAATTTATTGGCGGTTATATTTTCTTGTCGACCAGATCGAAAGATGCGAGTCAAACACTAAACGAAGAACTCTTCCACAAACTGACGGGTGGCTGGTCATAAGTAGTGCCTTACATATTAACGTGTCAATTATAACAAGAAATTTTGTTGTAGCAACTTTTAATCCGGTTATTTGTTTACTGATTAGCATTTATTCAGTATTTGCAACAATGAAATGTCTATGGTAAAGTTGTAGCCCGTTGAACCCTTCCAAATTATTGTTATTCAAATTTTATAAATATTTTTACAAATAATGTTGCAATATCTAATGACAGGTTGCACAGAAGCAGTTTTTGTTTTAATAACTTTACTAATTTTACTAGTCTCATGTCACATTTTAAGTGACCCATTAAAATCAGTTGTTCTGTTAGTTCTAGGACCTGTTCATCAACCCGAGTAGCAAAGTGCTTCATAATTTTAAATGTTATTGTTGCAATTTTACGCATATTCTGGATATTCAAAAATTATTTGTAATTTTTGTGAATAAAAAGAACAAATTACATCGAAAATCAAACAATTGTCCACTACAAAGAGATATTTAATAAGAGCTTCACATTTTATAGGTATTATCCCTTTTACATAATTTATTTCAATCAAAGTCAAGGACGGATCCAGTAGGTCCAAATAAAAAAGTTAACAAATTAAACACATCTCTACATTGAAAAATCGACGTTACGATCCTTTTTGTGGTAATTATTTTGCCACATTAAATTTTAGAGTGGACAGATGCCTATAATTATTAAGGTTCTAACCACTGGAGATACCGGGTGTTTGTAAATAATTATGATACAAAAGCGTTTTGGCAACAATGATTGATTAATTAACTTTATTCATTGTTGCCAATACACTTTTTTATTTTATATATTTCCAGTGTAAAATGTGGCATTTGAATATAAACATTATTTTATTTGTAACATACCCTTTGAATGTGCTATTTGTTAAAAACATACGTTATTAAAAAAAACTAAGTATAGGGTCTCGACAATTACATAATTGGATGCTGCAAAATGATTTTTTAACATCAAATTACAAATATTTTTACAACACTTTGCTAATTGGAAGACAACTTAAGAACGAAGGGGTTAAAAAACTGCTTTTTAAGACAGCCTGAATAAATAATATTGTATTTATAGATAAAGTGTTTACTAATTATTTTATTTAACTCTAAAAAATAAACATACACGTAAAACAAATATCTCGTTTTTTATGAAAACCTTTTCACTACCTAATATCACTTCCCTAATTATAATGTATAACATACTAAGGAAAGAAATCATCATCCTCATATTTGACAATGACAGTCTGTTGTGAGTTTTTACTGGTGTCATAAGATTCCGGTGGCACTGTCATTGAAGAGTCTCCTATGACCGATCGTGACTCTAATACTTTGGTTTGCACCATCACATTATCCCCATAATGCCATGCATATGACACTTGCGGTGTAAACGAAACTCCTTTTCCAAACTTGTGTCCAAATGATTTTCCATAACGTTGAGGGGATCGCCGCCAGTCATAATTAATCTTGCATATTCCATCTATATTTGCCTCTCTTGTTCCATGATAGAGTTGTCGTTCCTTAACACTAGTCTTTTTCTCGAGCATTTTCTCTTTTTTCAACAAGTATTGGCCAATAAATATGGGTTTTCAACGCGTTCTAGCTTGGTCATGGTTAATTTTCTACAAGTTTGTGAAAATAAATTTTTAACTTTGGTGTATTCATCTGAAGATGGACTGATATGTACCAACTGGTAGGGCTCATGTGATGTTCCTTCCCAGTTGGACGCCGGAGGCAGAGCCAAAATTTTTGAACGCAAGTCAGGATTTGGCACAGATTTTTCGAAAATATCTTGTCCGTCGAGCACAATTTTCTCGGAAAATTCTTCTCTTTGTTCATTGCTTATAGAATCTATCAATTCAAGATTTTGTGTTTCAGAATCGTCTTTTAACTCTTCTATGGGCTTAGTTGTTTCTTCTGTGGATTCAACACCGACTGTTTCAATCAAAGTTATGTCACCGTTTGCTGATTGGTCTCTAAAAAATTGATCTGGTTCGTCTTCTATTTTGTCTTTTGCTGACTCACTTTCGACTATTTCGGTCAAAGTTACGTCATTACTTGCTGATTCGTCTTTAAAAATTTCACTGAGTTTCTTTTCTATATTTTCTGTCTTATTTATTTCCTCTACTGATTCAACTTCAAGTATTTCGATCGAAGTTATGTCACGGTTTGCTGATTGGTCTTTAACAATTTGACTTGATTCCTTGTCTATTTTTCTTTCTTCTGTCGACTCAGTTTCGACTGTTTCGGTCAAAGTTACGTCATTATTTTCTGGTTCGTTCTTAAAAGTTTGACTTAGTTCCTCTTCTACTTTCTCTTTCTTTATTTCTTCTATTAATTCAACTTCGACTATTTCGATCGAAATTATGTCACTGTTTTCTGATTGGTCTTTAAAAAATTGACTTGGTTCCTCTTCTATTTTGTCTTTTTTTCTTTCCTTTGGTGACTCACTTTCGGCTATTTTGGTCAAAGTTAAGGCATTATTTACTGATTCGTCTTTATAAATTTGACGTAGTTCCTCTTCTACATTTTCTTTTTTTATTTCTTCTGTTGATTCATTTTCGACTATTTCGATCGAAGTCATGTCACTGTTTGTAGTTTGGTCTTTAATAATTTGACTTGGTTTTTCTTCTATTTTGTCTTTTTTTCTTTCTTCTGTTGAATCAATTTCGATCGTTTCGATTAAAGTTACGTCACTATTTGTTGCCGATTCGTCTTCAAAAATTTCACTTAGTTCCTCTTCTATTTTATCTTCTTTTCTTTCATCACTATTTGCTAATACGTCTTTAAAAGAATGTCTTAATTCCAGTTCCTCCTCTATTTTCTCATATTCGGTCATTTCTAAATCCTTGAAAGGTTCACAAAAGGTATCTTCTCGTTCAGAATTATCTTGTAACTCTTTGTTGATTGTAACTGTCTCAGTATATTCTCTTGATCCACAATCTGTTAAAAGGAATTTAGGATTTAGTTTAGATTCTGCATAATTTTCTTTCAAATATTCATTGGTTTCAGTGATGAGAAGACAAGAAGAATTATTCATATTGTCTATAATATCCATACATCCAATTGATTCATCTTGGTCTTCACCTGAGTCAGTCTCCGTTTTTCTCTTTTTTGTTCTTAAAATTCCATTTTGACTATTTGCTTCTTCTAAAAGAGCATCTTTAAATATCCTTTTTCTTGTATCAGTTATCAATTCATCGTGTTTAGAAGATATTTCAGTCTCCTCTCGTGATCTAATTTCTTCTAATTTAAAATTCCTGTCCTCAGTATTGTTTTGACTATACGTATCAATATTTTCTTCAATGTCTGTAGCAACTAATGAATGTTCCATTGTAAGACCAGTTTTATATTTCTTATTGCAATTGGTATAGTTTCTGAAGAACTTCTCATTTGTTATTTTCCCGGTAAGTTTTCTGAAATTGAAATAAGTAATAAATATCAATCCAGGTAAAAACGTTTTTGAATTAAGATTACTTCTTACTGTAGAGCAGATTTACATAATTGGTTAATACAGTGCGATCAAAAAGTCTGTCTATCAAGCAAGCGTAGAAATTTAAAACGTATGTCTATAGAAGATAAAATGTCACAATGAGAAATGTCAAAATAATTTTTATGTAAATTATAATAGGAAACCGTGGTGAACAATTTTTATGAATAAACACCAACAAAATCTCATTTTAGGATATTTTGAAGCGTTTCATAGAATAATTCAATTTAATTAGCTCAATATTTTAATTTTTATAAAATAATTTTTTGACATCTAGATAACATACGAACTGCCATGCACCATACGTCCTCAACTAGGACGCCTACTTGATAGAAAGACTTTTTGATCGCACTGTAGATAGAAAGTACCGTGCGATCAAATAAAAAATAAATTAGAGTAGGCGTTGATTAAATTCTACAGTTGGCAACACATTGGTTGGGAATCTAGGCTGGAAATTTTTCACACAAACTGAAAGTGAAAATAACCATCCACCGTTTTCCTCTTGTACAGCAATAAAAAATTTCTGCTCTAAAGTGAACATTATTTCACTCAAAAGGAATAAAACGCAAACTTATCAAAGTTTTCGCTGACATTTGATGTCAAAAATCAGGATTACCATCTGAAGGACTTTAATCACCGCCTACTCTAATTTATTTTTTTTTGATCGCACGGTATATTCTTATAATCAATATAATTATTAAAACAACTTGACTAATGACTCTTCAATTTTAATTATGAACTAAGCAACTAAATTAACGTCCAATGCTACCGTGCGATCAAATAAAAAATAAATTAGAGTAGGCGTTGATTAAATTCTACAGTTGGAAACACATTATCTGGGAATCTGGGCTGGAAATTTTCGACACAAACTGAAAGTGAAAATGACCATTCACCGTTTTCGTCTTGTACCGCATTTTTGTAATAACTTGCAACAATAAAAATTTTCTGCTCTAAAATGAACATTATTTCACTCAAATTTTGTACTCGAGTTTTTATATGAACACTCTTTTCAACAATAAGTTATTCCATTTTTTTTTGTTAAATTATTTATTAAATTTTGTTTTTTTTTTCTATCCGAATATCAATAAAGATGCTTGCTATGTACCGTGCGATCAAATAAAAAATAAATTAGAGTAGGTGTAGATTAAATTCTACAGTTGGCAACACATTGGCTGGGAATCTGGGCTGGAAATTTTCCACACAAACTGAAAGTGAAAATGACCATCCACCGTTTTCCTCTTGTACAGCAATAAAAAAATTTCTGCTATACATTATTTCACTCAAAAGGAATAAAACGCAAACTTATCAAAGTTTTCGCTCACATTTGATGTCAAAAATCAAGATTGCCATCTGAAGGACTTTAATCACCGCCTACTCTAATTTATTTTTTTTGATCGCACTGTATTTTGAAAACAAATGTAATTGTGTAGACACTCTAGATTTTTGCTAAATGATTTCTGTATGCAGCCTTAAGAAACAATTTAAAGTTATAAATAATTCAGGATATCATTATGCAGTTCCAAAATAAAAAAAAATACCTTCAATAACTCTCCAAAGATAATACGGTACAAAAAATTACGAAATTTAAAATAATCCCTCCACACTCGTACTACTGCATATCACAACTGCGAACCTTAACGAATTATAGATTTTTGACATGGTTAATATACAGTGAGCGGCAAAATTATGGAATAATTTTATGTATTAAAATTGAAAATATTTTGTTTTGACAAAAATGCTCAAACAGGTCAATTTTCTTTTTAAAAAAATTGTATGTTTGTTTTTTGTTGATATTAGTTCACTTTTGGGATGATTTTTTTTTCTAAAACTTTATGTAAGATTTAATATTTTGGTGTTGTCATTTCAATAATTATCTATCGAATTGACTAAAAAAATTAGAGGTTTCCATCAAAAAGCAGCATTACTCAAAAACCAAAAAGTGAAAAACTTTACATCAAGTTAAAAATTTGTAATATTAATACGCCCGATAAGGTCGCAAAAAAAGTCAGATTAATAACTTTTGACTTTTGATGATAGCATGGCTAGCTTTGGCGCCAAATTAAAAAAAAACGCCCCATTATCTATTGCATTATTAGTGATCGTTGATAATGGGTCCAAAATGTAGAACTGTGGAACTGAGATTTCTTGTGGAAGTTGCGGAATGTCAAATTTAGTGCCTGGCGCCTGCAAGATAGCGATCGTAACACTACTTGGTTTTCATGGGTTTTTATTTTACATTATTACTGAAGAAAAGTTAAACACATGTGTTAGTACCTATAGTGAAAAATAGTATATAAATTACGGGAGAGAACTATTGATCAAAAAGTCTTTCTATCAAGTAAGTGTAGAAATTTAGAATGTACAGTCGCGGCCCTTGAAAACTAAGACATTCACTTTTGGTATACTATTTGCTATTTTAAAAATTGGTAAAGTGTAAATTCGGTTTTCATCGAGGATACCAATGTCAATTTCAATTTTTCGGATTCGAATGGTGCTGCAATAAAATATTAGTTATTTCTGTCTACAAACTCGAAGTTCATTGTTTTAAAGCAAAGTTTTCTATTCTACGACACCGACTCGTAATTATTTGAATGACATTTTAGAATCTTCAGTTTCAGGCCATTTTACAATGCAAAATTTTGGATTTGTCAAATTGTCTTAGTTTTCAACGGCCGCGACTGTATGTCCACGGAAGGTAAAACGTCACAATGACAAAAGTAAACACTAACAACATCTCATTTTAGGATGTTTTAAGAGGTTTCATAGAAAAATTCAATTTGCTTACATCCTCATTTGCTTGTATACATCCTCAACTACTACGCCTACTTGATAGAAAGACTTTTTGATCGCACTGTATAATACATACCAGGTGAATAAGAAGTATGGAACCAAACGTTTTTTGCTTGAACTATTTATTTTTTGAAAAAACTAATTGATGAGTGATAAAGTACTATAAAAATGTGATGTTTTAACAAGAATAAAATTTTTCAAAATTCCCTTTTGTTTTTGAGTTCTACAAAAAAAAATATTTGTTTAAATGGCAACCCACTATAAAATCATTTTTCTCATAATAGCTATACTATTGTAATCCTTAGTTACAACTATCTGCTTTATATTTAATTTTTTCAAAAAAAATTTTTCACATAAATTGCAATTTTGCCAAAAAAAATCGCATAACTCAAAAACAAAACAAAATTTCGTTCTCAAAATACGATCACATTTTTTATATTATTTTAATTTATATTAATTATTATTTTCTAGAGGCAAATGATTAAAAATAAAACCGCTTGATTCCATACTTTTATATTCACCCTGTATATTATTTATACAAAAATAACTTAATAAAATTGTCTAATAATAAATTAATTATTATTAAATAATTTAATAATAAAAAAAATAAATTACTTACCTGCAAAACTCTCCAAAGGTGACTGTAAGGTTAGATATGTTAGAATGCGTACCGATTGTCCGGTAACACAGGCAGTACTAACTGACACACTCCCTTGAGAACGACTCTGAGAAGAGAGAAAATGCAGCCGTTGTGGATACGAGGAGTCGTTGACAGGTTGTTAGAGTGCGAGGTTTGGTATATTGTCTGTGGGCACACCAAGCTGTGGATCGGCACTGGTACAAGAGGAGTAGAGTGTCTGGCTCCTGTGGTGGCGGTCTGGGAACACGGGTAGTACCAACTGTCGCGTTCCCTTGAGAACGATTCTGTGAAAATGCAGTTGACGGAGATGCCGCAAGTAGATGTAAGAGGGAATGTTGGAGCACTGCAGCAGGCAAGGCAGGGGCGGAGGATACCAGGAATCGTTGATAGGTTGTTAGAGCCGAAGTTTGGTATATCACCCGTGGACACACCAAGCTGTGGAGGGACACTGGTGAGGGAAGGGCTGTAAGTCATTTCCCTGTGCTCAGCCCTGGACGACCAGCGGAAGGTAGGATTGGTGACCATTGGGATTTCCTTAGTAAGGGGAAGATCCTGGGTGCTTAGGGATATACCTCCCAGGTTAATGAGAGGGGTGGTAGACCCTGGGTTGGGAGGTATAACTGGCCTTTGCAAGGAGAATGGTCGGGTGCCAATCGGTGTTTCCATTTCCTCGATCCCGGAGGGGATGTGACCGCTGGTAACGCGGGTGCCTGGGAAGTGGTCACGTGGTCCTGGTAACATTGGCGGGCCTTTGGAGGGACGGGGTGGCCGGGTTCCTTTCCTTTCCTTTCCTCGCGCTAATTAAGCTAATTGTAAGGTTATTTTATTCATTTCGTTATTATTTTGCATTATTTAAGATTTAATTATTATTCTTGTTATTGTATTTCTGCCCGTATTAATACTAATTTTGAAACTTGGCCAAGTTCCACAATTTCTAGGTTTAAGGCGAATTCGTGGTCGAGGAACCGCAGTCACCAGAAACAATATTAATTCCAGATGTTAACTAAAATCTGTCAGTACCAGTTTTCTTAGTCTTGTGTAGTTCCAGGTTAACTTCTTTCGGACCCAGGCACGATGATTGGTCAGCAGAGAGTGAGGACACTCTCGATGTCAGGAAAGGCCGTGTTAGAATGCGTACCGATTTCGATGACGTAATCTGGTTTCAGGTCTTGTGGATAAGTGCTGAGGGCATGGACGAGGCAAGGGAACCGAAAGAAGGAGGACTAATCGGGAACTCGAGGGCGTCATTCTGAGATTTGTGGTCTTACGAGAGAAACAGTTGTAATAATCGGAAATAAATACCTTTCTTTGAGAATTCTTTAGTTTGATTTCGAATAGTCTAAAGGGTGATTTAACAGATAATAGTATAATCCACCACCTTCTTAATGAAATGCGTCACAATATCCCGTTTGGGCGTTTCGTGAAAACTCTGATACCGAGTTAAGTGGGTTGCCCTTGAACGAATACATTAGTGTCGGGAATTCCCCGAATTATTTACTCTCACTTTCCGAATCAATAATTGAAATCGCTCCACTGTGAAATTGGCGGGAAATTTGAAAATGACATGAAGTTGACATTCCACATTCTGAGTTATATCCGAGATTAGCACAATTTGTTAAGTGAAATTGTATAAATCGTCATTGCCAAATTTCGCAACAGCGCGGTTCAATGTCGATACAATTACAAATTAATAAATAAAAAACACATACTAAATTGAAGATTATGGTCTCTTCATTAGTACACAAATTATTATATCAGTATAAATAATTGTGGTATTAGGTATTACTGAAATTAGAAGGCCGGTCAAGCAGAAAACATACATACATACAGAATGATTCTTAAATAGACCAACAAAATTTTATCCTTGGAATTATCAAATGAGAACATACTGGAAAAAATATTTTAAAAATTCATTGTTTAAACGTTCTCTAAATAAAATTTATTAAAGTTATTTTCGAGGTAAAGCGTACGCCACTAATGTGTTTGTAAATACAGAGTGGTTATAAATGATTTTCATCTAGCCAGCTGTGAATTTTCCATGTAAAATAAAAAATGCCGCTTTACGAAAATAGGGGTTCCTACTTATTGGAACTCAAAATTAAAAAATCGCCGTTTACTAAGCGTCCACTTCGAAAATAGACTTGTTTTCTTCCAAAGTATACATTATTATCAATTATTATTGGAAATTAGTTGAAACAATAAAAATTTAATCAACAACAATTTATTATTAATTAATAAGTGACACTAACTAGAGACTAGAGCTTTCAAAAAAGTAGAGCGGCACAAATAAAGTTACATGCAAAAAAACTCCAAAGCTGGCTAGATGAAAATCATTTATAACCACTCTGTAGTATTAGCACAGGTAGTGGAAACCATGGTATTAACTTGATGAAAATGTACTTGATCATTGCAACAATTCATAAACGCCGTAAGTGGCATGGATCAAAGGGGTTTTGCCCATAAAATATACAAACGTAAAAAAGGTACAGTTTGTCTCCATGGGAAGCTGTGATAAAATTTTGTCGGTCTATATAAGAATCACCTGTATATGGCATGGATATGGCATAGCGATTTGAGTGGTCTATGAGTGTCAGCTTATTAATAAACTAAAAATGTGACGCCTTGTAAGTCAATCTTCCTGTTATGAGATTGTCTATGGGAAATAAACAAAAACAATTTTGCATCCTGTGTTTTGTTTATTAAAGTCGTTATCTAAAAAGCGGTATTGTAATATTACGTTCTAAAAGACGGTGAACACCAACGTAAAACAATTAACATTTTTTAACAACATAATCCAAATATGATTCCCACTGTTTTTGTCACGTCATTCACTGTCATATTCGGCACTGCTTTTAATATTTTGAAACCTTAGCTTAATGCAATTTCTATGTGACTGATGATTATTTATTGTTGTAACGTGCGATCAAAAAAATAATAATTTAGAGTAGGCGTTGATTAAATTCTACAGTTGGCAACACATTGGCTGGGAATCTGGGCTGGAAATTTTCCACACAAACTGAGAGTGAAAATGACCATCCACCGTTTTCCTCTTGTCTTGTACAGCAATAAAAATTTTGAGCTCTAAAGTGAACATTATTTCACTCAAAAGGAATAAAACTCAACCTTGTGCGCATGAAATATTTGCAGTATTCATTGTTAATTCAACAAAATTTTGAAAAATACTTAAGACTGGACATTTTGAAAACCGAACTTTCAAACTTTGTAACATTTATTACCAACCATAACTTTATTACAGCAAAAGTTCCTAAATTTTGAATAATTGACTTTTATGTGAAAAAAGTACGTGAAATGCGCAAAATAGAAAAAATAGCATAAAACAATTTGTTTCATAAGTCATTTGTGGGAACTCGTTCTTTATAAAACTCGCACTTCGCTACTCGTTTCATAAACCTGAACTCGTTCCACCAAACTTGCCTTACAAATCGCATTCTTTAATATACTATTTTTAATTCTTTTTGTTTTAATCTTGGGTCTCGATCATATTATCGAATAAATTTTTTCCACGATAATTAAGCAAATTTTCTTTACTATTGATATTATTATACCTACTCGTATTCCGCTAAATCAAATAATCAACATAATTTATAAATAAAAATATGTATTTTATTTGTAAAATGAAGTTACAATTGTATATGTATATTTTTTATTTGAATTTTCTAATCTAATGAATACCATCGTGTTAAAATAATGCGAATAACATACATAATTATATAAACAATACTATGAAATAATAATACAGTGTCTTAATTAAACTAAAAAATACATACTGAAATAATTGATATTTTCCAATCTAACTTGTGGAAAAAATCGTATATTAAACTAACAATTCTACAAGTTTGGCTACATAGCGACGTAGCTACGGCCACACCCCTCTGTCCTGTGGAAGAAGAAGAATTCTACAAGTTACTTGATGAATTAAATGAAAAAAAATTTTTTTAGTGGCAATGAGATAAACTTTTTGTGTTATCTAGTCGAAGATTCCAAATGAACCCCCGTCTGTCATTGTTCTCATCTTTTGGAGAATGTCCCTTAAGGCACTGTCAAATGTAGTGTAATGAATAACGTACTGGGGATAAAAATCATCATCTTCATATTTTACGTACACAGTGTTTCGTGCATTTGTCGTAGTATCGTACAATTCGGGTGGAACAGTCGTGGAAACATTTCCAATTATTGAATTGCATACCAACACTTTCGAAAGGAACATAACGTTGTCTCCGAAAGTGTAATGACGTGCATACGAAACTTCGGGTGCAAACGAAACTCCACGGCCAAATTTGTGCCCCCTGGAATTCCCACATCGTCGCCAATCAAAATTAGATTTGCAAATTCCATCGATGTAAATTTGTCTTGTTCCATGGAACAACGAAAGCTCACGTACGAAACCGTACTTGTCTGACAGTTTCTTCTTTTTCAGTGAGTATTGTCCAAGCAAGTAAGGATTTTCCACTCGTTGTAATATGGAAATTTCTAGACCTCTGGCTGTCTGATTAAATATACCTTCGACGCGAGAAAATTCAAGTGAATTCTTGTTAACGGTCCTTAGGACATAGGGATTATGCATTTCAGCTCCCCAATAATTCGCCATTGGGTCACGTAGAATTTCCTGAACGATGCGGGAATTTTCACAAGATTTTTCATAACTCATTTTTACACTTAAAAAAGCTGCCATTAGAGCCAATACATTCTTGTATAAGTTTACACTTACGTTTGGTATTAGTAGAAACAATTAAAGTAGTTTGCACAACCGTATTGAACGCGCAGATAATCCGGGGAATCACTTGTTTCAGTTGACGCCTAGATATGTGTCAGTAGTGTTAGCGCGGTTACCTATCATGTATTGTTTCCACTTACTTGGAGAAGTTTTTGTTCTATGATATGATAAAATATGTTATCAAATGCAACTGTGCAGAATTATTTTTATATCGTCGTTCGGGGAAAACCGAGGAAAAACGACGAAGTTCATGCACGAATGCATACTCCCAAAAGAACGTCATTCATTTTTATACGTGATGTTAGACTTGCTACCATAACTTACAATTTTTTTGTCCTCCATTACGATAATTATAATTAAAAAATTGCATATGCAAGTGCGACAATTTCTTCTAGAAGAAAGACGATGTTAAAACCGTCGAGTTGTAACATTTAGATTTACTGTTCTTTTTGTAAAAATCAAATATTGCATAATTGGAAAAAAGGTGGGAATAAGAAGCATTTAAAAAACATTTTTCTGACAATTTATTATAAACAAAGTTGAATTTCAACTCAGACATATCAATATGTAATGTAATAAAAGTCCTATTGTGGAATCTAAGATTTTTAAGAAATAATTAGGACACAAACAATAAATAAGTAAACTGATTGGAACTATAAAAAAATCAAAACTGAATTTCAAAAAAATATAAACAAAATAAATATTTTAAATGAGCCTGATCTAAAAATTCGAAATTTAATATAAAAATCTTCGGTAACATTGATCAACAACTGTTCTGTTGACAAACACGACTTTTCAAAAGTTCATCTTCACTAAGGAACGAATTTTTAAAAACAGACCTACTTTTAATCTCTTCCGCAATTCCAATAATTCTGGACTAAAAATAAACACGTTAATACAAAGACGTGAATACCTTATGAAATAGAAAACTGAATAATAAAATATGCTCTATACATTAAACAGTATGATTTAAAAAACACCTCAAAAAAATTAGTTGCATTCAACACAATTACTTCCCAAAAGTATACTTGCACATACGTTCTTCATCAAAAACACTATTTAAATTTTTTCTCTTCAGCTTCGTATTAATATAAATCACAATTTAAGATATCTTATGGGAAGAAATTTAAAACATTAATCGTGAAATCATTTTGTGGACACTTCACCATATGAAGGCACATGCACAAACAGCTGCGAAACATTCGAATTATTAAATAACAAAGTATTCAGCCTTACCTCATGGCAGTGCAATTAGGTATACCATTTCCTCTTTGGTTGTATGGAAAAACAAATAGCTGATCAACTTAATAAGTAACCACGCCATTAAATAAGACCCTTAATATAAATATAGAGACAAAATAAAAATACTGGTACATAATTTAAAACTTATTTAAAAATTTTAAAACATCCTGGCAGTGTTGCTCATGATATAATAAATATTATGTTACGTGGATTGATTCGACGATGGACTTCTCTCACTAACCGACTCTAAACTTGCCTCATTCTTGAACCTATTTAACTCAACGCCTAATTCCTACAAAAAGAAATTAAAATTCCACACAAAATATCAATATTGAAATAATTTACCTTTGGTAAGTCTGTTCTAAGATGAGTGTTGGAGAATTTCTTAACTATCCTACTGAGCTGATTATATAAATCTAGAAGCGGCTGCAGCGAACACCCGCTTGTAATTTGCACTGTCTGCTCTAAAATCTTCTCGAGGTCCTTTTGTAAGCATTCAACTGGTGGCATATTGACAGGTTCTTCAACTACAAATCATTATCAAAAATATAGTTATGTTGTGGACAAAAATTACCATTTTCATTGAGGGCTTGGTCGATATCATCAAATTCTAAAGGATTCTCTAATAGTTCCGACGGACTCATGAGATCACTTAACCTCCTCCTTGGTGACCTAAAACCAAGATTCAATGTCAACAAAGTTTACGATTTTTTTTGTGAGTGGCTATCAAAATTTTTAGAGAAAAGAATTGATGTATTTTAGAATAATCTAGTGTTTAATCAAAAATAAAACCCACTTACTGTAATTCTGCATTCCCTTTTTGGGACAATTCATTGCAATTAATCGTTAACGGTGCCGTATGCTCCACATTTACAGTTTCAGCAGACGCATCATCCGGTTCAGACGTAACAGTAACATCCTTTGAATCATCTGATGAATCTTTTTTATCACCCTCTTGTTGCAAACCTTCAGATGTTTTACTCGTCCGTTTCCTCTTTTTAACATAACCCCTTTGCCAAGTGTTTTGAGATCTACGTTTTTTTGTAGTACTAAGCTTGATTGTACTACTCGTACTTTCATTTTTTTCTTCGGTCTTTGGTTTCTCGGATACTTTTACGTCTTGACTTGGTGGATTATTTTCCTCAGCTTCTTCAGTTTTTTTCTCTGCAGGTTCTTCCGCTTTTGCAACGAGATTCAAATCATCTGAAAATAAACGTAATTACAAATGGAAACACACACAAATTGAGAAAAACCTGGTGTTTGAATGTATGCTGGTAGATATTTCTGAACGCTCGCTTTTCTCACTTGTCTTTTTAAAGCGATGTCTTGGCATTTGTCCTCAAAATCGCTGTCCATTTCGTTCTTGATCAAAGTATAGGCGTAATCACGAAGCGAGCAAGCTCTATGTCTTATTTGCTTGTCTGCCGACGTTCTAAAAAATGAAGATCTTAAACAAGAGATGAAAAAAAAAATTAATTTAGAGTTATGAGTGTTTAAACTTTCCCAAAAGTAATCTTAAATTTGGTTTGTTAATTCTTTTTCCAATTATGAATACACCAAAGAAAAGATCAAAACCTTTTTCTTTCATATGTCCACATACAATTTAAAAAAATTAACAATGGTAGAGTTATCAATTTTTGAAGAGGAAGGTGCAAATAGAAAAAAATTCACAAAAAGTCTAAATATTTCGAAAACGGTTAAACTTAGGTACAGAGAAGAAAGAAATCTCTCTCAAAATCACTTAGGTAATCCGAAAACGCAATAAAAAAACATAGCTTTCTATTTAAAATAACGAAAATAACACCCACTTCCGGTGTAACCGGAAGTGCCCCCATTTTGAAAATATTTTCATTGAGCAGGATCTAACTGTTTATGGCAATAAACATAATTTTAAATAAATATCATTGTTAAAACTCCCAATATTTCTAATGCCGGGTTTAGCTGGAACAGTCTGTATAGTCATTGGTTTTAACACATACGGCTGAAGAACTATTTCACAGTAAATACCAACGACTCAAAAGAAGAATTTTGCTAGCCTGATTCCAAAGAGGAAGATTCTTCTAAGAAACTTTACCTAATAAATTGTTATATAAAACCTAAATAAATATGAAATAATTTTAGATATTACTTATTTACTTTATTTAATTCCTCCAATAGTTTTTCGAACAAAAGTAAAAATTGGCCTTCCTGAATATGTTATGCAAAATTTTAATTTTTTCTCAAAATTAATATTAATACTACGCCACTGGTTCTAAACTCACAGTGATGACGTGATGACTGATGTCACTGTGTTTTCTTGTTCTTCTGAAATTGCGGCGGTTCTAATATTTTTATGTCCAGTCAAGGTCAAATATCACGAAAAACACAATATGTACTTAAAAAAAATTAATCAGTTTATAAGTAACAAAAGACTAAAATGTAAAAAAATAGATCACTTATACAGAATAAATTAATGAATCTGGATCAAGTTTTGAGAAGCTTTCTGTCTTTGTCGGCTATTTCAAGGTAAATTATTCATTGTATTTAAATTGTGTTAGGTTATTTACAGTTTCATATTTTAAACTTATGATTACAAATATCCTGTTACAGTCTGTTGAAATGAGTTTGCAATCGGAAAATTCCCTTTATGAAAAATCACAAGAAAATCCGGCCGTGCTTGTAAAAATTCTCCGAGACTCCATGACAAAGTACTGGGAGTCAACATGTCACAATCCTTACGTATTAAATACTGTTGATGAGAAATCCGAAGAATATCAATATGCGCAACAATTATTTGAACGAACAGCTGGAGATTTTGTGATTACTAAATTGGAGCGTGTAGAAAACCCGTACTTGCTTGGATTTTATTTATTAAAAAAGAAAAACATGTGGGAAGAATGTGGCCATGTGGCCGAAAAAATTTTATTTCATGGAACAAGCAAAACTTCTGTTGATAGTATCTGCAGATTTAATTTTGACTGGCGAAGAAAGTGGGAGTTCCAAAGGAGCATCATTTGGGAAGGGTGTTTATTTTACATCTGACGTTTCGTATGCAAATCAGTATACACTCGGAGACAATGTTATAATTCTTTCTAAAATGTTGGTCGGTAATAAGGTCAAAGGTTTGCCCTCTTTCGAGATTATCCCCGAACCATTCGATACCGCCACTAATAGAAACGAAACTATTTTTGTAAAATTTGAGGACAATGATTTTTACCCACAGTACGTTATACAATATAGATTTAATAATAATATAATAATAATAAAATTTAGCTTCCTGCTACGGAAAGTGTTTTATACCATTTTTTTGTATTTTACGATTTTTATGTTTATGTAATGGATGTTCCAAGAAATAAGTAAGAGTAATTCTGTAAAGTAACATTGTACAATATTTGTATAATAGGACGAACCTTACAGTTGTGATTAATTTTATTTCGTTTATCATATGGCCATTTATAATTTATAATTCGTGTACAGTCAGACAAAATGAAAATGACGCTCTGCTTTGGATGGCGACCCTTCCAACCGCAACCAGGCAGCGTCATAAATTATCGGATTATAAAATTTCTTATTAGTTTGGTAACTTGTCATTGAAGACGAATCAAAATTATTTAGGAGTATTTTAATTTAAGCAGACAAAAAAAAATGAAAAGTTATTTAAAAGTTTTTGGTTCTTTTACAAAATTTACTTATTGTTAATTTTAAAACATATAAATTTAAAATAAATGTAGACTTTTTTTAATGAACAATTTAACAAACCATTCTTAGAGAAAATTATGCATTAATAAGATGAGCCTGACAAAAAAATAATCATTAGTTTAATGTCATGTTTTTCAAAGTGTGGGTCGCGACCCCTTGGAGGGTAGCGGGGCAACGCGAAGTGTCAGTATAAAAAAAAAACAAAATTAAAAACATAATTAAAAAAAATACCCATGAGTACATTCATATTAATATGAAGTGTGCGCCTGTTTTTTGTTAACCAATTTCTCCCATCGCGGATTCGTTTTTGCTACATTTAGAATCAAATATTTTTCTAAATTTACCCGATTTCTCTGTTTGCCTTTTATTTGGGCCATTGACGAAAACGTCAACTCGTACAAGTAGGAATTGGCAAAGCTTCTGTGGTTAATTCTGGTATTCTGATTTTTTGTAATATAATAAAACACAACTTAGGAACAGCGGAGGGTGGGGCGTCGCAAAATATTTTTACATACTTAAAAGATTGAAAAAACACTGGTTTAATGCATTATTTTTGAGTGAACTAATAAGAAATTTTAAGAAATTCACTTTAAATCAAAGTTAAGTTTACAATCCGATAATTTATTACTCTGCCTGGTTGCGTTTAGAAGGTCGTTATCCATAGTAGGGGCTCGTTTATTGAGGCGTCATTTTCATTTTTTTTTTGAGTCTACATTAGACTTAAAATTGCTTGTGTGGTTCTAAAAACTTACTTGGCTGGATTATACTCGAGGGCGTTCTGAACAATAAGCTCGATATCCTTCAGAAAATCTTTGGCACATTCATATCGATGAAAATCGACTTTGGTCATCATCGTCTCCAAATCCATCGGTTGTTTGATAATGGTAGGATAATCAGGCACTTCCTCAGTGTCAACTGGTTTGGTAAACATGAAGAACAATTTGTTATTGGCTAATTTTTTACAAATATCTCTTAGAAATATCCTAAGCTCCCTGAGAGTGTGTTCCTCTTGTTCATATAATTTTTTCGACTGTTCTTCAGTTAATGGTGTGGGTGGAGGAGTACGAGCTCTCGGAAGAGGTGGGGGCGTCTTTGGTCTTTTTCTCGGTGGTCGATGTGGTTTCAGACACAAATCGATCAGTAAAGGTTTGAAAAATGCTTCACGGCTAGCATCATTTGGTAAATCCAGCTGGTAAACTTCCTTTCGGTAGCGGGAGAATATATTTTGAATCTAAAACAATTGATTAATACCGACCAAACATCAAAGAAAACAAAAGTACTTCGTCAGGTAAATTATCGTAGGTTGATTCGGCCGTTGCCAGTAATAAAATTGGGATATTGGGGTCCATTTGCGACAACTGTGAATCCAAAATAGCTTTCACAGTTTCGCTAACGAGAACCCACCAATTATCGATATTTGGAATATAAATCACACTTGGAACATTTCGTCGCGCTTCATTAAATACCTACAACCAACAATGAATTTTGTTTATAAATTTTATAACTGAACAATTACTTGAATACAGGTTTCTTCAGCTGAACGACCCGTTTCTTTATATAAAGTCGCCAAATCCAGAATATAGGCATGAATGTGTTCCATTTTGTACAGTATAGCAGGCGCCAAATGCGATGTTTGACCACAATCGGGAGTTTCCCCTAAGAGAAGAAGCTGTGCTGGCCTTAAATTAGGCGATAATTTCACCCTGCAACAGACCAATTTGTGATTTTGTCAACTTGAAACTGTAAACTTACTTTGAAAGAGCAGGATTCAAAGCATGTGGAAAGGTCTGTTCAAGCATTTTAAAAACGTTTTTAACGGCCTCACTCAACAAAGGTTCCAAAATTAATAAAAGTTTTCGTCCTAGGCCTTGAGTAACCCTATGCGAGGCAGGTACGAGGAGAGATTTCGCCCTTAAAAAATCGATCTTTTCGACTTTAACGTTCTCTGGATTTAACATTAGTCGATAGTCAGCATTGTAAACTTGGGGATATGTCCGTCTAAACCCTTGAATGACTGCTTCAGAACACAAAGCTCTCAAATCGGAGCCACAATAACCGACAGCCGTTTCTGCCAAATATGATAAGAGTTCCTCACTTGGCGGAGAGGACCACTGCGATACGTGCACTTTCAAGATGGATTCACGTTCCTAAAAAGTAACAAAGTCTTAGGTGCTACATTTCATATAAAAAGATAAGTGGTCCTTACTTGTTTGGCGGGAAGTGGAAAAAACAGCTCCCGATCGAATCTTCCTGGCCTCCTGAGAGCCGGATCGATGGCATCTATTCGATTCGTCGCTCCTATTACTATAACTTCGCCACGATTATCCAGACCGTCCATCAATGCGAGCAACGTTGAAACAATACTAGCATGGACCTGGTCCTGTCTGGAGGATCTCACTGGAGCTAAGCCGTCTAACTCATCGAAAAAAATAATGGAAGGGTGTAACTCAGCGGCCTAATACAATAAATCAAAACAATTTCCTTCACAAGTCGGTCAATCTTACTTGTTCAAAAAGCAGTCGTAGTTGTTTTTCTGATTCACCTATCCATTTACTGAGCAAATCTGCACCTTTCCGCATAAAAAACGACACCTTTCGGCAGCCAAAACTGCACTCATTGGCCAGAGCACGCGCGATTAGAGTTTTGCCAGTACCTGAAATCGATTTGATCATAAATTAATAATAACAATAAAATGGTAGTACCTGGAGGCCCATGAAAAAGAACACCTCTCGGTGGCTGTATTTGGAATTGTCTGAACACTTCGGGATACATCATGGGCAGTAAAATCATCTCTTTTAGACACTGAATGTGACCATCTAAACCTCCTATACAACTAAACCTAACCTTAGTATCTAAAGTTTCAGGCCCGATTGGTATAATTTTACTACCACCAGCACCTGATTTCATTTTTTGCTCACTTTTGGAATGTTGATTTTTAGGGGTTTTACTACAAGATATAAAGTTAATAAAATTCAACTATAAAAACAATGTTTTGAACCTATGTCGCATGTCTGCATCTGATGACGAACTCGAACTCGACGATGACACTTTCCTTCGTCGAGTGAACCGTTTCCTGTTTCTTGGAAGTTCGTGTGAATGCAAAGTTGAATGTTTCACTGAAATTTACCAATAAGAAAGAGTTTAATTTGATAAGAATTTCATTACTTGGTGGAGGTTTAGGTTGCCGGGTTCTAAGCGAGTACCCCTTTTTAGCGCCTTCAGATTCTGAACTTGAACTATCTAAAAAATGTTTTTGGTGTATTTGCATAAATCAAAAATAAAGATGTTTTTCAACAAATGAATTACCAAACCGCTTTCGATTCTTAGGCCTCCGCGAAAAATTCCGATTAATAATAATAGTGTTTGATGGCTTCGGTTTTGTACGCATTTTTGGAATATCACTCTCTGACGATTTATTTTCTTCATTATTAGTGCCGACTTTTGCCGCTTCTTGATTCGTTTCAACTCCATTTTCTTGTACCTTGGCACTATCATTGGAGTCGTCTTCGACAGTATCATCACTTTTCTTTTCACTATCCTCCTCGACAACCTCATTTGTTCTTTTTGACGACCTATTATGTGACGATCGTCCATTGATACTGGTTTCTTCATTATTTTCTTTGTCGTTCGATTCTCGCCTACTCCGTAGTTCTTTCTGGTTGCGTTCACTCGAACGGAGAGTCAGCTCGCTTCTTCGTCTTCGTGGTGGCACTTCATTTGTTTCGTAGTTGAATAGATACTTGGGACTTTTTATTTCTCTACGTTTACTGCTATTTACATCGCTCGAATGACGAGTGCTTCTGCTAGGTTCTTCTATGCGAACGTCTGGAGCGTCGCGACTGTCTTCTTCCGAATATCCAGGAGTGTTCAAGTTAGGATAACCCATTTTGTGCATTTGATCGTCGGCAAGCCATGACATGTTTTTACGCTGCCGCTTGCTGCGTCTCAGTTCTGTGTCTACATATTAAAAAACATTAACAAATAGTTCAAAAATTAGAATAATAAACTATTTTTTATCTCATTAAGTGTTACATATTGAAAATTATCTAGTTTTTCAAATAAAAAAAACATCTTAAACAAAAATTATTACAGAAATGTAAAACTAATTGTATTTCAAAATGTAAAATGGATACGTGCTATCCAGTTTCAATGAAAAAATCAAAATTATAGCATAACTTTGTTGGTTTTTTTTTTTTTTAATAAAAAAATACCAATGAGTTTTTATGTAATTTTCTTACCGGAGAGGGAATCCGCATAGCATTTTTGGCTGATTGGGCGAAGCGACAGCGCGGTTCTACGTTCGATCCTGTCCAAATGTGACCTTAAGTGACGTGATCGTCGCCGCTTTCTGAAATTTCCCGCTTAGAAAAATTATTCGAAAGCATTTTAAGTACAAACCGTGAATACATGTCATCATCCGAATCATTTCCATTGTACATATCTGAATCATTGTGCATATTCCTTGATGAATAGACTGTAAGAGAATGTCTCTCATCAAGTGCAATTCGTTTACGCGTATTTAAATTTTCGCTGCGTAAGCTGGCTAAAATCCCTTTAAATAGCATCACGCAATCAAAAACTTCAACTTACAAGAATATTTTCTCTCGCTATAGACAAATCTACTTCGTAATTCTCTGACTCCAAGTCCCAACGCCGGATCCTTCTTGGAATGGGTCTTTCTCTTGCCTTGTGATTCCCATGAAGCGTCCTCACTTTGGGAATCTTCACTTTCGCTAACACTGGAAGAGTCTGAATCTTCAGCTGCTGTTTTCTAGAAGAACATTCAGTGAAATTGTGATTATGGTGCTGAATGGTTGTCTCTCATGCAAATTTTGATGCTCAGACATGGACAGACAAGTAAAACGTTATCAGAATCAGAGGTATGTAAAAAGGCGTGAGAACTGTATGACAAACATACCCCTGGACGATGCTGTGTGTTGAAGTCTGGCGTTGAGCCAATTGACTCCGTACGACGAGTATTCACCATCACACCACCGTCAGCTGTGAGAATCAATTCAATTACCGAAAAAGTTACCCCAACTGAGAGTACACTCACAGAAATTGATTGCATTTTAACTCTACTTTAAGCAGCCAAATCAACAAACTTTTCAAAATGTGTACAAATAAAATCGAAATTTTGGGTTAGAGAACAACCAGAAAAATAACTAAAAAAAGGATTTGGAAGAAATGAAGTTTGAAGGGCGTTAAGGTTAGTCATGGCTTAGGATGTGATCTTTCGTTAGGTCGACGAAACCAATAAAAATAGAGGGAAATTACGACAAATCAACACATTGTTGTTAAACAAAGCTCGTACAATACTACATAATGGGAAATAAAACACACAACAAGCAAATAAGGCAGGTTAACGTTACAAATCAATAACCTCAAACTAATTACTAAGCGTTTTCTGTTGTTAATATAAAGGGTTCCACTCACAATTTCTGTTAAAAAACTAAATTCTAAGATGTTTTTCTTCTAAAAAATCAGGACAATGAACAAAACACACAGCCATTCACGTCTTTCATCAAAAAGCACTGCCAACCAAACAAGCATAAATGTTACTTCGATAATCCAATCGTGAAACTGAAAAGGTACTAAATATATTCAAATCCAATAAATAAAAAGAAAACAGATTTTATTTCTAACTTCTTAATCAAAGAATACTTTGTACATATACAATAATCATTACACTGTTTAAATGTTCTGTTTAGTCGTCGCTTGTGATAATTTACAAATTTAAGTAATTTTTACTTCTCTGAAAAAGATCATTTTACAAATTGAATTAACTTTTCACCATAAAATAAATAGCTATTTGTACAATTATTAAAACCCAAAAATTGCATTTTTTATTACGAATATAGAGTTTATTACTTGAGGTCTCAGCCAAGCAAAATAATACGAGAGAATAAAATAAAAATTTTAAATATGTACTATGTAATTAACAGTACACTTCTATTCAAAAAAAAGCGTACACGTATTGTATTGTAGACAAAAAATATGGCGATCGGTGGAAAAAAATCCTAGAGTTGGAATTTTTTTAAACACTTTCTTTACACTTGGGTAGACATACAGAGTGTTCAAAAAATCGCGGACTTCCATGACACTGTGTCATCGGGCGGCGGTGCCCTAGACAACAAGAAAAATGTTTAAAAAAAAAGTATCTCTAAGAATTCCGAAGTTATGAGAATTTTGCACTATGATTATGACTCCAATTCTGCTGTGTCCTATTGTGTTAATACATGAAGAAACTGTGAGTAGTTTTTTGTGCCACCTTGCCCCAACGCTCGAGACAGTGTATGTACGAGTGGAACCTCTTCGCCAAATGGAGAGTGGGTCCCAAAAGTAAGATTTATCAAAAACGGAGGTGAAGCTTTTAACACGATCAAGGACTCATTATTCGGTTGTTTGGAGTATTTTATTTTATCAGGTCAGGTCAGGTCTAATTTTGTAAGTTTCAAGTTTCCTGGTGACACTATCAAGTTTTTATTACTCATGGTAAATGCTGCATTCAGCAATTGTTTTACTTTAGTGTGTACTTTTTGTTCACATAAATAGTTTTTTTTAGGTTATTTACAAATATAGGAATTCTATTGTAAAGGGGATAATTAATTAATCGTTTCCAAAGAAACGTTTTCCTGACTTTTTGTATGTTAAGTATCTGAAAATTGATTTTTATAATTTAATTATGCCGCGACAAACATCACATCATAACAAGAGCGCGGATTATTACAAAATTGGAAGAAGGGTGGTCTATAAGGGCAGCGGCTGAAGCATTTCATTTAAACAAAAGCACTGTTTTAAAAATGAATAAGAGGTGGGAACTGGAGGGCACTGTACAAAGGAAAGCAGGTTCTGGTCGCCAAAAGATTTCTTGTTGAAGACACTCAGCGCATAAATTATTTACGGGAAAATCCGTTTCATACAGCCAAACATGCCATTGTTAATACTAATTTTCCGGGATCACAACCTACGGTATGTAAGTAAAAAAATCAGATATCAATAACTTAGTGGCCACCAAAAAGACAAAACTTACCGAACAAAATAAACAATCTCGTTTGCTTTAAATTATACTCATCAAGAGATAGAATTTTGGGAAAATGTGGTCTTCAGTGATGAAAAAATGTTCCAAAATACTACATTCTACTGACGGGCAGGTTCGTGTTTACCGACCACGCGGAACTAGATTTGATGAAAACTATATCAAAGCATTTAACAGAAGTGGAAGATTTTCAATTAATACATGGGCATGGATTAGTTATCACGGTCTAGGGACATGTTGGCGCATAGAGCATAGATTCAACGCTCAAAATTATCTAAATTTACTTGAAATGTAATGTTGCCTTCGGTCCGCCAGATATATCCCGATAATAATTTTATCTATCAGCAGGATAATTGTCCTGTGCATACAGCCCACGCAGTTACCCAATGGCTAAGAAATAATAATATAGAGACGCTAAACGGCGCGATGACCAAATATTAGAATAGTATCTTACATTTATTTAAATTGTTGTTAAATTGTTGAGAGTTGCCTTTTATTTTTGTATAAATTTATCAATAAATGTTTGCGAGTTGTGTTTGCAGTAATTGGTAATGGTTGTCTAATAAATAAGGCAAAAACATTACACACATTAAAATCTCTGAAAAATGCATCGATAAAATTCAGCTGTCAGCAAGGATTCAGCTACAGGTTACTAAGTAACGACAATTAAAAGATAAGTTTACAATATGACAATCTAGCCAAAATTGTGCTACTACAGTTGGAGACAAAATACTTTGGTCGTCACTTTTCTGACAGTTTAATGTAATTCAATCTTTAACGTTAGATGAATGACAATTTCATATTAATGACAGCTATTATATTCCTATCAAAAATATGTACAGTCGCGGCCGTCGAAAACTAAGACAATTTGACAAATCCAAAATTTTGCATTGTAAAATGGCCTGAAACTGAAGATTCCAAAATGTCATTCAAATAATTACGAGTCGGTGACGTAGAATAGAAAACTTTACTTCAAATCAATGAACTTCAAGTTTGTAGACAGAAGACTAATATTTTATTGAAGTACCATCCAAAACCGAAAAATTGAAATTGACATTGTCATCCTAGATAAAAACCGAATTTACACTTTACCAATTTTTAAAATAGCAAATAGTATACTAAAAGTGAATGTCTTAGTTTTCAAGGGCCGCGACTGTACATACAACTTGTCGACTATGATTGACAGGAGCTAAAAATAAGGTCCTAAAGCAAGCTTTAGAATTTAATGTCACTCAAGTGACATTGACGACCAAAGTATTTTGTCTCCAACTGTACATGTACGCTTTTTTGTGAATAGAACATAAACACGCACAGTTCATTGCAGACTAAAAAAACTCATTGTTACAATTTGTTTTTTTTAAACTAATATATTGTACTCGAGTGTTTATATGAACACTCTTTTTAACCATAACTTATTAAAAGTTATTCAATTTTTTTTGTTAAATTAAGAAATAAATGTTTTTTCTATCTGAGTATCAATAAAGATGCTTGCTATGTATTTATTTTAGAAAATACGGGCTAAACGCAATCTTAATTTATTTCGTGAACATGTTTAAGACCAAACAAGAGTCCACGACGTTATAAAAAAGTCCTTAAATACACGGAAACACAATTTTACTTTTTAGCCGTTACTCTATAAAGTCTGTATAAGCAATGCAATTTAAAAAAAAAGTGGCATATTATTGTTTGATATTTGTTTCTGCTTCACAGTTTTAAAGTTTTTGCAAAGAAATCTTTTGATAATGATTTCCGATTTTTAACAATCTAGTATTGTATGTGTCAAGTGTCGTGCTTTCTGTATTTTGACTTACCTTTCAAAATTAAATGTAAATTCTGCATACGTATTTGGCAAAAAAAAATCGACACGCTGTCACAATGTCTAGTATGAAGCAAGAGAGGTCATCAGAAAAATTGAGCAGGACATCGAAACAAACTACCGATTTTTCAAAAGTTGGTGGTTTGGCAAATCATATCAAAATTTTACGTGACACGATAATAGTGCCCTTACTGCACAACAACGTTTATTCGCACTTCAACATTAAAACACCTCGCGGTATTCTCTTCTATGGACCTCCAGGTATAATCAAGCAAGAATTATTTTAGAGTAAGAGTCAAAAAAATGTTAGGCACAGGCAAAACTTTGGTCGCTGGCGCTCTTGCAACAGAACTCAACAAAGAGGGATTTGGTAAAGTAAGTTTCTATCAAAGAAAAGGAGCCGATGTTTTAGACAAGTGGGTCGGCGAGTCAGAAAAGAAACTTAGAGCGTTATTTGAAAATGTATTTGTCCAAAAACCGAAATCTTCATTGTGACAATTTTGTTTTAAGGCTTCAAAACACAGGCCCTCTATTATATTTTTCGATGAATTAGACGGATTGGCTCCTATTCGTTCAGTTAAAAACGATCATGTCCACTGCAGCATCGTCACCACGCTTTTGGCCCTAATGGACGGCCTTGACAGTGTCCCAGGAGTCATAGTTATAGGTGCAACAAACCGAATTGAGAGTGTGGACCCAGCTTTGCGTCGTCCGGGGCGTTTTGACCGAGAATTATATTTCCCTTTGCCTTCCACTGAAGCCAGGAAGGAAATCTTGCAAGTCCACATGCAGACTTGGAGACACCGACCTTCCAATCAATTCATTTCAGAATTGGCCGAAATGACCACCGGTTTTTGCGGCTCTGATTTGCAGGCACTCTGTGCCGAGGCTCTGCTATGTGCCATGAAAAGACAACATCCGAATATACAAAAATGTCTCCTTGGCACTCGTGTCAAAATTGAGGCAGGAGAAATTAGGGTCGGCACTTTGACAACCGAGGATAATAATCCCAAAATTGAGTTTTTCAGATAGACGACTGTGATTTTATCAATGCTCGCAAAAACTTAATCCCATCGTCGCATAAAATGGGAATTAAAATGAGGAAATTAAGTCCCGTGATTGCGCCATTGCTGCAGAAACAGCTTGATATGGTTTTGTCAAGGGTGAAGATGTTGTGGCCTCATTTTTCTATGCAATTTTACAAGTAGTGATTTAAGGTTTTGTTTTTTTTTTAAGTTATTCTTTTAGATATTTGATAGGAAATGAACGTTATGTTGGAAGGGTTGTTTTGGTTGGGTCAAACTTGCAAGGATTAAATGCGCATTTAGTTCCAGCGATTTTACAACATTATGAACACTTACCAGCTACTTTTTTGGATGCTGCAACATTACAACATGTAACAACTACAAAGATAATGGGTAACATTAAAAATGCAAATGCATGAAAAGGTACAATTTGCTGTTTAACAGAAAACAACCCATATCGTAATTTTTCTGTAGAAAACAAGAAAACAATATTGCTCTCATGTATTTTTTTTTCAGAACATTGCATTTTTAATGTTACACAGTATATTAATCAAAAATTGTTTATTACCCGTTTTAGCGAAATCTTGTGGCAAATTTTTGTAAAAATTTACCTTCTATTTTGGTAATTCCCCGAGTGGACGATTTGTGGTCATTTTTGGAAGTTAACGAGCAAACTTACATTGCGTCGCTTTTAGAAGAAATCCACGCCGGTTTGCCAATATTAATAATAGCCACATATGAAGAAGAGTTGCCTTTAATGGTAAAATCACACGTTTGGGGCTAATTATTATTTATTAGTGTAATTACAGTTACAGAATTTCTTCTATAACAACACCAGTGTGGTTATTAATATTGAGAATCCCTCAGACCAAGAAGTCGAGGAATTTTTTATTCCACTGTTTTTTGGGGATTCGCCACACAGCTTAAACACAATCTTATCAAGTTGCAAACAAAACTGCAAAAGAAAAAGTAATGAAACTTTAGAAACATTAAATAAAGGGAAAGTCCCGAGATACGTCACTTCTGCAAAAGTATACAAATTAAAACCATCAGGAAAAATTACAAAGTCTCGTTCAAACATAGCTTTAAAAAAAACTTTGAGGCTGAGCCCAGATAAAGGTAAAATAGTAATTGTTTGGAATTGTTTTCAAACTGGTTCGCAGATCTCATTCGTTGTCCTTCCAAACATTTCGATGAACTTCGATCAGTTAACACCGAAAGTTTGTGTACTTTATGTGGAAGTACAGAAAAGAAGAAGCGTCTATCTCTGATTCTGACGGATTTGTTGCAACGAAGTATTCGATACTTTTACAGACGCAGGTCACTACACGAACGAACCAGCAGTCACCGAAATATCAGTCTTATGCAAAATTATGGCGATTCTTCCGGTTTTATAATTGCAGTGTTAGGAATTTTTTTGACGTTTTGCTTTCAGATGTTGATAAACAAAAAATTTATAGTTTATGGCGACGCACTGTTTTGAAAACAGCCAAAGACATGCCTTTGGCACATTTGGAAGTCTTGTACGACACCATATCGGCCTGCATTAGCATTCACAAGGACGATTTTCAAAATTTAATTAAGGTGCGATCTTTATTCTGAAAGTTAGAACATGACTTATTTTGCAGATTCATAGAGTCTTGTTTAGACATTTTAAAAATAATTAGACAGTGTCTTAGATATAATTACATAACAAAAATCGTTTTTTTACTGACACACCAGTATCTTTTGTTTATAGATTTTTTGCTTAGAACAAAAAATAAACTTAGATTATCAAACATTATTATAAGCAATATTAACCAAATCCACATTTATTTTACTCTAATACAAAAATGTTCAATAATTTTAGAAATATGATGTTTTAAAATTTTTCAATGCAAAGATAAAAACGGCATATTAAATTTTCCATTTTTTTAGAAAAATTAAAATTTATATTTTTCATCATAAACTCTTATAACAAAATTAAAATATGCTACTCTAAATTACCAAAAAAATTAAAACATTAATTATTGACAATCTATTTCATATTTTAATTTCGGAAGAATAATTTTGTTAATATGAGTTTTTCTTAGAGTAAATAGTGAGTGTTCTATCAAAAAAAAAAAAAAAACAGTCATGACAAATGAGACACTCTGTGACTCGGAATGAACTACAAGTAAGATATAAGTGGACTGACTTTTTGAAAGCTGAAATAAACTTTGTGTACCATATACGTTATTTAATAAACAATCAATTTCTTTAGTTTTATAGCCTTAAAAGTACATTTTTTTTAATCCTAAAGGGAACTAACAACTGTCTTTTACATTGATAGCTCTTAAAAAGTTAGTCCATTTGTTTTTACTTTTTTTGTGTGTAATTATTTTTAAAAGGTTCTTCTACAAAAACCGTTTTATGTTACTTTTTTACACATATTTAGTATTGTTAAATTAATTTTTGATCTAGAGTTTGGATGACACTCTTCTCGAAATTGAGGCAACTAAGTAGAAATTTTACTGTATGTTTCCCGTGGAGGTCCTAGAGGTAAGTGTCAAAATTTGCATGGCTATATGATGATTTATGAATGGAGTCCATATGGTTAAATTATGAATTGAATTTTTGTCACGAGCTAAATTATGGTGATGTTGAGACTGCGATCTTTTAGATTAGTCTTTCGTGGGACAGTGCTTCAAGCAGACGGCGTCAATTGTTTTGTCCAAGAATTACGCTGTTAAGAAATAAATAATATTTTAGTTGAAATGTGTTTTTGTGCTTGTTTGAGGATTCTTGTGTGATAATATTAAACGGAAAATGGTGGTTTCAAATAGATTACAGAGGTAATTTTCACTTTTACTCATTTTACTTGTTTAGTCCAAGTGAATTTATATTGTGGAGTTAATGGAGTTTTCAGTGTGGAGACAAGGATTATTAGTAAATCGGAATAATATTATAAAATTGACCCATATTGCAGTAGTCGTCGTCAGTTCTTTTATTGATCTAATTTTTCTTCATTGCTTGTTGAGATCGTGATTTAACAATTAAAAAAACATTAAAGCGCCGGCAAATTGATAAAATTTATTAATAATGAAATAGCGTTACTGCTCTTGACTTTAGTTAAATAAATTAGCACAGACACCGTTATCACAAATACATTATTATTTTAAGAGCTATGCCGTCATTATGACAAAAAGTCAAAATATAATCTGCACTTCATTAGGTATCTACCACTCTATGCTTTAGGAATTTTATTTTACATGTTTATTATATTCTGTTACATTTAATACAATAATGGAATCAGGTTACCTACCTATATTTATTTATACATACATCGTGAAAATTATGAAATTAGACCCAAAAAACCATTGTTAGTTCTTGCACCCACTCTATACTGTTAGTGGCAGTAAAAGATCTTGGTTATCTATGGTCTAAAAGTGGGTGTAATTTATTGTGGAATGAATTTTATTATCAAGAACTTATTTTGTTTGCGTAAT